CTGCCCTGGTGGAAGTTGCTTGGGTAAACAAAGGGTATCGGTCTGCATCTGCGCAAATCAACTAGATCAGCAACTTTTCCTTCGGGGGGCACATGTCCCGGACACAATGAGCAAGCTCTCTCTCTCTCTCTCTCTCCCTCCCTCCCTCTCTCTCTTTCAACATCTCTTGACATATTGTTTTATATTGCCTAGCAATGTGATTCTCTGTGCGGCGTGCCGTGGCAAAGCACAAACTGTGACAAGGAGGTGACATTGGTATCCAGTCAAGGTGAGGTGAACCCATCAAATCTCTGGGGAATTCAAAGCTCTGCTGCACTATCCTCCCACCGGTTTCTCTCAAACCTTACCACACTCTTGGCAAGGAACCGTGCCATGGATCCCGCAGCATTCTTCTGATGGCATGTGAAGAAGCGAAACCTGGAGGTGTGGTGACCGGATGCGTCTGCTCCGTTCGTCAAGGACGTTGATGCACAGACAGCGCTTGCGGATCCTCCCCACTTCACACACGCATACACACACACACACACACACACTTGAGATATTGCGTACTGAACTGAACGCCTCATGCCACACGCCCACCTAGGTTTTGAAAGCCTAAAATAGGCGTAAAGATGAGTAATGAGGGTGCGAAGTCGACGAAAGGATGACGATGGACGTACTCATCGGCAGAATGCAGCAGCAGCTTGTGAACATCACAACAGTGATATCCTCAGGACACTGCAGAGAGCTTTGTTAAGTGGAGCTCTGCAGGCCTGCTCCACTCCCCTGCTATAAATTCAATCAACGGATTTCCTGTGATTCCAAAAGGAACCAGACCTCATTATCAAGACCTGGGCGACCTGAAACCTGGGATATAAGCATAAAAGTACATGTGTGCGGACACGCTAAGGGCCGGACCGATCTGCATTCAAAAGCAAGAAAGGAATGAGATGACAGGGCATGAAGGCGGAGAAGGCATGAAAAGAGAAAGGAAAAGAAGCGTGAGTGTGTGTTTGTGTGCCAACTCCTGTTTCCAAGTAATATGACCACACTAAGGATGTCATGCACCGACTTTCATTTGTACAGAGCAGGGGACTCTGGGTCCAGTCTGGACGTGCAAACGTATACCTGCAATGGTGCGCCTGGGCGCTTTGTAAGACGCAGCTGGTGGCCATCACTCCTCCTTTAATTCGCTGGTAAAGTGCTAATGAGTTCTTGTTGAAAAATTCTGTTGCATCGACCCAGCACTTCATGCTGTTCTGCAAGTCAAGGTCTAATTCTCAATAACATAGAGGCTAGCTTCACAGGGAAATCAAAACTGATACAGGTCTTGCGAGCCACGATCTAAGTGAGTGCCGCAACAGGGTTCCACTGAGGTCTGTTGTGTGAACCCCGCCGAGGGGCGTTGAGCATGGACCCTTGAGGGGGATCCTTGACTGATTTTTCGGTTTTGCACGACCGCCACCGATTCAGCTGTTTGCTCGAGATTGCTGATTACAAGCTGCAGAGCTCACTGACCATCTTCCAGAGAATGATACGCCATGCGGCTAAGTATTCATAGGAGCATGGCACGCCGCTAGGTAATCACTTCAGACATGTCTTGCTTTTCTTCTTTCTGTCGCTCTTCGTTTTCTAGGTCTTTCTTCTTCGCGAATGGCTTTTCGGGTGTAACTGAAGCTTTTCAGTCAAGGGAGCGCCGATTACGACTTTCTGACCAGGCCTTTGGGCCTGAGCCAGTCACCCCACCTCACCCCACCCCACCCCACCCACCCCTTCTTTCTTTGCCTTTTTCGTTTGTTTG